GCAGGGCGCGGGTTCAAATCCCGGCTGCGGCGGCTGCATTTCCGATGGAGGCGAAAATGTTGTAGGCCCGTGTGCTCAGTTTTGGGTGCACGTTAAAGAACCCCAGGTGGTCTAAATTTCCGGAGCCCTCCACTACGGCGTCTCTCATAATCATATGGTGGTTTTGGGACGTTAAACCCCATATATCAATCAATATCAATGTAGTGGAGGGCTCCGCAAATTTCGACCATCTGGTGTTTTTTGACGTCCACTGATATCGGACGGCCTCTAGTATTTCGTACCCGCCAAAAATTGACAGTGGCTCACGGTATCGAACCCGTGACCCCCGAGTCAGCAGCCGTAACCACTCGTCTACCGCAGCGTGTAATATCACCGCTACTTCAAGCGAGAATACTGCGCTGCAAGACTGTGCCTTCTCCTTGACTTCGTTTGTTTCATACGTATACATGTTTTTGCTTATATTCTCTAAATTGAATTCCAATATTTTTGTTTGGTTACCTAAGTTGGAGCGCGCCCGCAAGATCAAATGAACTGTTCCGCGACACTAAATTGGTGGCACAACTAAATATATTCTTAAACACATAACTGTATCGAATATATATATATATATATATATATATATATATATATATATATATATATATATATATATATATATATATATATATATATATATATCCTGATGAAGGCCAGACTCTAGGCCGAAACGTCGAAATAAACCACGTTGTGACCGCCCACGGAGGATCTACTGGACTATATATATATATATAGCCGTGACATGCCTAGACGGAGATAATAAGATGTATATAAGCAGCTGCATTATCAACTTCTCTTGTTTTTCAAACTGCAAACGTATGCCACAACGTACAGAACCAACCACCGTGTGTCAACATCAGCTCTATTGCTGCATTTTTTTCCCATCGTCTTTTAAAACAATGGGTGTTATGCTTGCACATGCAGTGCTTTTCGTTTGCTTGTATGAAATGCTTCCGAAAATCTCACGGGAAGCTTTGTCTCCCTTTTTTTTATTGCTTATAGCGTCTCGGCAACATAAATAACAAGTTCAGGCGCGTGAAGTTGCGCACGGTCAGGCCGTTTTTCAAGCAATTAGCTTGCTCCCTAATTTGTTAATTCGCAAATTGATCAGTGTTCTCTACATGAGACTTTCTAGAATTGATCGGCGTCTGCTATGTGTTGCCAGTGACGCTCTGGACGGACCGCATTCAATTGCACTTCACCTTGAGTCACATTTTTCTGAGTTATAATAAAGTAGTCTCATTATTAGTGCGTTACGCTTTATGAATCACATGCTGCAAGAACGTTTACAATCTGCCATGTACGACCGGCGTTACAAGTAGCTGATACTCGGTGTTACAAATTTTCGCTTTAACGAACACATTCAGACTCCACCTGCCATCGAGCATAGACTTCAAGCTTTCATGAACTTGAAATAACGAAACAAATTCGCCGCCAAACCTCGATTCAACGAAGCCTAAAAAATATGCATAGAAAAGCATGTTTTCCCAAATTTATGGTGTCTAGAATGTCTGACAGTGCCAGCGCACGAGTGGTACAATAGATGCAGTGGAGGCATTTTCGTTTTGATTCGTGTGAAACTACAGACCGAGACTGCAGGGAACGACTATGGCGCGTTTCTTTTCAGGCTTAGGGTCAGTTGCACCAGACGGCGAAAGGGCGCGGGCGACTCGCAGATGGCGAATGCTCGCATAAGCTCTCACCTGCCCGCTTTTTGAAAGCGTAAATGAGGGTTCGTGGAAAATGCGTCCAAAATCACCTAATAATCCCGTTTTTGATTATACGAAGTTCCCGATTTAAAGAACTAGTTCACGGGTTCCGAGTGCTTCGTGAAATTGAGGAGGACAGAGATGTTAAATCGAGGTGTATTTGTTGCACACTTCGAGCGCTTTCTATCTCGTTTCGTACCTGCGAGCGCAGTGAAAGTGATCCAGGAAAAAGACGGACAAGGGGACAAGAAGATGCGTCCCTTCTTCAGCGCGCCTCATGACCTTGAGCACTTTCGTGTTTTTCTTTAAACGCGCAGCTTTCGGTGTGATCGCGAGTGTGTTCGCGGGCACGTGTCGGCATCTTGCAGCGGTCACGGTAACTATACAACTCACGTTGCTCAAACCTTCGAACCGCCGTGGGCACATGTCGCAGAAGTATGGGTATAGGTTATCCTTCGTAGACAAAAGCGAGAATGATTTATAGCTGAATTTGAGAAATGATTGTGAATGTTTGGCGCATGTGCTATAATATTTGGCTCGTGTGCTCTCGGGAGACTTGAGTACCAATCGGCATAATAATAACTTGTTGGGCGAGTTATTGAGCACATAACATCGGGATTTCCGCGTTAATATAGCCGGAGACATGGGAGAAGTCAGGACATGCACTACTAACGAATGATTTATTGCAAAGGTTATGATGGAATATATTGTTTCAAGTCATTCCTTGATGAAACAAGGAATGTTCCATCAAGGTGATGAAGATGAGGATTCACAATAGCGCTCGCGTTGTTGCTGCTGCTTTGTCATCTTGGCTGAAGGACCCCGTGTACATTTTGTAAATATATTTCTTTCAATCTTGTTTTGTTGTTCTGACCCCGTGACATTTTGGTGGATGCGCGGCTACCAAGACGGCATAATGGAGCACCGCAGTGGCTGATGCTTGGCTTCTCCCACGATGGCAGAAAAGGGTTCATCTCCCTCAGCGGTAACCGCAACAACAGTTTTTCTTCCACAGCTGAAAGACCCTGGCATGTTCTGCGGAACTGACAATGTCCACATAAAAAAAAATGGTTGCCGATGTACGAACGAACAAGTAAGAATCATCGCTGGGATGATACGTTCATGTTGGCGAACATCCTATTCTACCTGAAAGGGACAGCCAAAGTGTGGTTTGAGAATCAAAAAACAAAAATTACCAGCTGGGAAGCGTGCAAAGAAGAGAGGCGTGCACTATTTGGCAAATCGACTGGCAGGAAGACAGCGGCCAAGAAGGAGCTGACGTCTCGTGCTCAAACATCACTGCGGAGTCATTACCTGACAAGGCGTGCTCGCCCTTTACCTCAAAGCAGACGAAAAATGGAGGAGGTAGCGAACATATTAAAAGACATTGCCAATGATGCATTAAATCTGCTAATCTGCATAAGCAGTCACTCAGTAGATGCCATCATTAGGGAGTGCCAGCGTTTTAAGGTCGCCAAAACCAAAAACCACGTATTGCCCATCAGTTCTCTTGACTTCCTAACATAACAGCAACATGGTCGTGCGAAGGTGTACCTGTACTACGGGCAGCGCTGTCTCCACACCACGTCACAAAGATAATATGACGAGAACTCGAAGCTGGGTATCTTGATTTCACTTGTTCTTGTAAATCTGTGAGTCCAGCTCCCAAATGGTGCCTCTAGTCCATACCATCGTTCGCCAAGAGCTTTCAAACGTTGGCCTGGACTCTTCGTGCGCCAGAGCTACCTCCTGAATGATTGACCGCAGTCCACCAGTTTCCTGCGCCCAAGGCCCAGCGTGCCCTCGCAACGCCACCGAGAGCATTGTTGATGACCGACCCACTTGCTTCAACTGCTGTCGTGTTGGACACGTGACCCGCTATTGCAACAGCATGTGGTGTTGGCGTCAGCATTCCTATCGTTGCAACCGTCGCACAGAGACAGATGTTCAATTTCAACCACGCCATCATGTTTCGTCGACGCCGTATCGTCGGTCGCCATCTTCTAATGACTGCCAGTACCGCTCACCGCTGTCTCGTCGCCCATCATCAAGCTCGTCCCAATTTCGCCGTACTCCTTCGGTAACTGCACACCTGGCTCGGAAAAACTAGACGATGCAGCTCACAGAGGTGATACTGCATCGACGACTCCCCAGCCAAACCCTCTTTGACTGCACTGCCGACACGACGCAACCTCATCGACGCAAAGGGGACGACACATTTGTTGCGTACCAGATCAAGAAAGCGACTAACTGTGTTAGTGACACGTCCACCTGCCTGTACAAGGGCGGGATCGGGTTTTTCGATGTCACATTCGCTGACCCTGATAAGTGGGGCCTTGATATGCGATCGGTACGTCTGCGCACCGCGGAGCTATATACGAGAACTTCATTGCAATTTTGGCAATAAACCAGTTGTTCATAGCGCCTGGCCTATCTCCTCACATGTTTTTTTTTTTCTAGCGCAAAAGTCACCACGTTATCAATGGCCATGCTCTAAAAACGTTGCCGTGCCCCTTTATAGAGATAATAATGAATAATTGTCGGAGCTTAACGTCCCAAAACCCCCATATGATTATGAGAGATGCTGTAGTGGAAGGCTGCAGAAATTTTGGCCACCTGGGGTTCTTTAACGTGCACCCAAATCTAAGCACACGAGCCTCTATCATTTTCGCCACCATCGGAAATGCGGCCACCACGCCCCTTTAAAGGGAAACAATCAGTTTCGATTTACAAATCTTACTTTTAAAACACTATGGGTCATGAATTCCACCATTTAGGCGAGTTAATAGAGGAGGAAATCAAGGTCAATGTTGCATTATTTTTTATTTCACACTGAAATCTCCGTTCGAGACGTCACGGATTTCAATGTGGATATGATCGTATTTTGGTGACACTGCTATGTGCACATGCGATCTCTCGTGCATAAAGCATACCGTCAAGGTCAGAGTCCAGTACATACAGTGGGAGCAAACATGATCAAGTTGTTTTCACATGTACTTACATGTAATATGATGGCATGTTCATTAACAACAAAGGATCACGACGGAGAAGCAGTGTCAATTAGAAAACGCTATAGTGAATGCAGTGTGCCTACATTTTTGTTTTCGTTTTTTTTTCTTTTGCAAAAGCGTCGAAAAACGGGCTAGTTGGTATAGATTCATACCAAATTGATACCAGCTATCTATACAAACTTATGCGTCTGGTTGGTTTGTGCTGCCAATATTTCAATTTGAGTTTTTTTTCTTTTGTTTACAGGCTAAACGCAGGCGACAGGACCGTGATTCAGACCTCGCCGTCGGAGGACAGCATGCGCTGCAGGAATCCAGGTAAGCCTTTCATCAGAGCCGCTGTCCTCAAGCCATCCAAAACATGAATCGAACGCGTTCCGAGTTCACACCTTCAAGCATCAATGTGACTTCGATCACTCGTTTGTCTTTAAGATGGAGTTTCGGCTCATAAAGTCTGGCCTAGATGCGCAGCAGATAGGAAATATTTTTACTCGGCAATCACTGCCCCGCCACGGTGGTCTAGTGGCTAAGGTACTCGGCTCCTGACCCGCAGGTCGCGGGATCAAATCCCGGCTGTGGCGGCTGCATTTCCGATGGAGGCGGATATGTTGTAGGCCCGTGTGCTCAGATTTGGGTGCACGTTAGAGAACCCCAGGTGGTCGAAATTTCCGGAGCCCTCCACTACGGCGTCTCTCATAATCATATAGTGGTTTTGGGACGTTAAAGGTCTCTTCATAGAACGCTTCTGCTTTCGGCTCCGAGCATTGTTATCAAGTTTTTCGCTTTTTACGGAAGACGCTGCTCCCTGCCCCAAGGCGACGGACGCGGAGTCATCCACTGGTCCGCCCAGCCAGAGGTCTGCTATGGCGAGCTCCTCGGTAAATCAGCGCGCCTGGCCCAGAACCAGTGAGGCCAACGGTGGTAGTCACTGCATCATGGCTGTGGACGTGGAGCCTTCTGCGGCTCTGTCCGACCATAGACCACCTTTGGCAAGCTCGTCGCGGAAACGAAGCACCTGTTCGAGCACCAGCGAGGACACGGAACTGTACTCGGCCACTGGCGACGACTCGTCGGATGACGACTTCGAGACCGTGAGAAGCAGGAAGGCCAAAAGAAGAAGTATCAAGTCGTCTTCACCAGCAGGGACATTAACGTCTCAGTCAAAAGGAGAATGCTGGCCGCACACCATCCTCTTCATGCCCGAGGACTCCACTATCAGCCTTCGAGCAGTAAACACGCAAGCTCTCTCTATGTACTTTGAGGGGGTAGCACCAAACGACATTAAGGATATCCGGGTGAACACGCGGAAGAATATTCTAGCTGTGGACACAATGACTGCCAGCGCCATAGACAAGCTTCGCAGAGTATCAGATTTGGGAGGCATCAAAGTTCGACCGGTTATTCCAATGGACGGTGCCTGCACGGCGGGAGTAATCTACGACATTGATTTGGCCATAGCAAATTCGGACCTCCCAACTCTCATAAAACCAGCGAACGAAGGAGTTCTCATCGCGAATGTACTTCGCCTCGGAAACACCCGATGTGTAAAGATAATGTTCAAAGGAGATTCCATTCCGTCGCATGTCAAAGTGGGACACTTCCGACATCCTGTTCGACCATTTGTCCCTAAACCACTCCAGTGCCATAACTGCATGAAAATTGGTCACATCAAGAGTGTATGTACAAACACCACAGCATGCCCCCGATGCGCTGAGCCGCACACTGCAGACGCATGTCGGGCAACAAGTCTGAAGTGCAGAAACTGTGATGGTCCGCATGATGCTGCATCCAAGGAATGCCCTCGGATTAAGAAGGAAATCGCCATTATCAAACAAATGGTTAGGGACAATTCAACCCACAGAGAGGCTGCTGAAAGGGTACGGCGGCGACGTAGTCGCCGACGGAGGCGTGTAGGACAGAGTGTTGCGCATAACCCATTTCCTCCGAGCACGAGTGAAGTAGTAAGCACGAAGCGAAATGAAGTGGAGAAGCTCACAGCTGCGGATGAGTGGCCTACGCTTCCGCGTACGCAGCCGGCAAAGGAGCCTCCTGCGAGGCCTCGCCGCCCTACACCTTCCACCGAGTCTACTTCCGTTGAGGATGTGTCAAGGGTCGATCGACAGATCATCCCGATGTTACGATCCCTCGTCGCTGTCATGGCAGACATACTAAGAAGCCTGGGAACTCCAACCGCTCGAAGCGGGTTACAGGTGTTGGACGCGCTGAGCCCAGTCCTCGCCTCCCTCGCGTAGAGTCATGGCAGGAGATCAACAATCGTTCCGCAAAGACGTCAGAGAAGCATCAGTCATCCAGTGGAACGCAAGAGGACTTAGATCACGGATTTCCGATTTTCGTCAGTACGTGTTTTCTAACCGTTTCCCAATCATCGTAATATGCGAACCGAAATTATCAAACCCGATCAGGCTATCCGGCTACGAATCAATCCCGTCCAAAACCCGAAACGAAAGCAGCAAGGTCATTGTGTATATTCGCCGGGAGCTTACCTACATCATTCAACCTGTGTCGCCTCATGATGAGAACCAATATATTTGCCTGACTGTGAAGCAGAAAACCCTCACCTTCACATTAGTAGGTGTCTACTTATCTCCCTCAGCCCGTTTTGATTGCCAAAGACTGGATGACATTCTTTCGAGCGTCCCGGATCCGTGGATAATTATAGGGGACTTCAACGCCCACCACCCAATCTGGGGAAGTTCAAAAGTCAATACCACGGGCCGGAGGCTGGCTTCATTTGTATCGACTCATGAACTGTCTCTACTTAATGATGGGAGCCCTACATTTCTGCGAGGATTAACGTACAGCAGCTGTTTGGACTTGACGTTCGTGTCACGTCGCTTCGCCACAAGCGTTAAGTGGTTTTTAGACATCGAGACACATGGTAGCGATCACATCCCCAGTTATCTCACCATCGAAGGCTTTGCTAGCAACCACCCGCCGAAAACCGTACGGAGGATCGATCTTTCAGCATTCACAACCAACATTGAACACGCTTGTGAAAAAGGCTTAACCTCTGGCATTGAGCAAGCGATCAAACAAGCAGCGCAGAGTGCGATGCGCACGCTGGCATATTCTTCAAGGCCCTCAGAAACGGACATGGAGTTAGAGCGACTCCGTGCGATTCGTCGGCGTGCGGAGCGTAGATATCGACGCACAAAATCCATTCAAGATCTACGGATGGCCAGGCGCATGCAAAAGAAGATCCAGCGTCGTATAGACAAACTGGAGTTTCAACGGTGGGCGAAATTTTGCGCGAGTCTAGACCCTCGCAAACCGCTTTCTCAAATATGGCGAACCGTGCGAGGCCTACGCATATTTCCCCAACAACGTTTTCCGTTTAAAGCCTTGGCCCTTTTCCAAAATAGAAGGGATATCGAGGTAGCGGAAGACTTTTGTAGGAAGATTGCGGGCCCGCCAAATTGCACAGAAGGCCTGACTGCTGATTACACGCCACATTCACTGGACCCGCACCTGGACCTGCCTTTTTCAATGGAAGAACTGAATGTGGCTCTTGCTTCATGCAATCGATCGTCATCGCCTGGGCCGGATGGCATATCATACCGCCTATTATGCAATCTCGGTGATCGAGCACGAAGTGCTTTGCTGGAAGTATTCAATGAGTCTTGGAGAGATGGAACGGTCCCCAGAGAGTGGAAAACAAGCCGGTTGGTTGCACTTCTCAAACCTGGAAAATCGCCTCTAGAGCTGACATCATACCGCCCAATCGCGCTGGCTAGTTGCGTAGGGAAGCTGATGGAGCGAATGATCCTTGCCAGACTCGAGTGGTTCCTAGAACGCCATAGAATATATCCAGACGCCATGGCCGGTTTTCGTCGTCTTCGGAGCTCCATTGACAATGTCATTGACCTGGTGACCTACGTACAACACCAGAAAATGAGCAGACGGTTATCTGTCGCACTATTTTTAGATGTCAAAGGAGCATATGACAATGTTTCTCACGAAGCCATACTTGACGCCCTCGAGTCAGTTGGTTTGGGTGGGCGAGTGTACCGCTGGATCCAATGCTACCTACATATGAGATCATTGTTTATGCAAACTGATGATGGGCCGACTTCTGAACATTATACACACCGTGGTGTTCCTCAAGGTGGTGTATTGAGCCCCACACTGTTCAACCTGGTTCTGATCGGTCTCGTTGAACGCATACCAGATTCCGTGCAGATATCTCTCTATGCAGATGATATTTGTGCCTGGACATCAGGTGTAACACGTCCTCAGGTACGTGCGAGACTCCAGAAAGCAGCGAATTCAATATCGGCGTACCTTAGAGAACAAGGCCTCGAGATTTCTCCTGAGAAATCGGCGCTGGTCGCGTTCACGCGGAAGGCAATGACGTCATATCCCATCGCCATCGATGGACACAGTGTCTGCTACGCCAGGACCCACAGGTTTTTGGGGGTTACGATCGATCGAAATCTCTGCTGGAGTCCCCATGTGGCCACTCTAAAGAAGCGCCTAACGGCCATCGCACAACTTTTCAAGTTCCTCGGAGGCAAAACGTGGGGCACATCAGTGCACGCGATGTTGCATTTGTACAAAACGCTGTTTCTGGGGTACCTGCGGTATAGCTTGCCGGTTCTGACGAACGCTTGCAAAAGCAATATACGCACAATAGAAAACGCCCAGGGCCAGGCACTCAGAGTTTGTCTTGGATTACCACGCTGTACATCAACAGCGGAAACCATCGCAATCGCCAAAGATCATCCGGCCACAGTGCACATTACTTTGGAGGTGCTTAGAGCTCATATTAGACACCTTGCTCGCGCCCCTGCCCACCACCTAGCTTCGCTTCCAGAAGATCGACCGAGTGCCTCCTTCTGTAAGAGAGTATTGACTTTCCGTGAGTGCCTTCCAACAGTCTACACGCCTCCGGAACGGATACTAACACCTCCTTGGAGCTTGGACCGACCAAAACTGCGCTTGACAGTGCCGGGGATTCGCAAGAAGGCGGAGCTCTCGGCGCCAGCTTTAAAGCAGATGATTCTACTCATGCTACACGAAGAATACAAAGATCATGTCAAACTTTACACGGATGGCTCGACAACTGTTGGAGGATCTGCAGGAGCTGTGATCTTCCCAGCAAGAGCCGAAACCATCCAGTTCAGAACGTCACACAAGACGGCATCGACAGCCGTGGAGCTCGCGGCACTCCGCAGCGCACTCCGCAGGATTGACCAAGAGACACCACAAAAATGGAGCATTTTTACTGATTCGAAACCAGCTCTCCAATGTCTACAAAATGCTCTACGTCGTGGACCTCAAGACCAATTGGCGCTCGA